CCTCACGTAGGTACAACGCAAGGGTACTTGTCTGTTTGTTCTATTTAATAGATAAATTATAATACCATAAACCACCACTGCCGTTGAGGGACTGTGACACTGCATTTAAACATAGCGGCGTGTTCTCATTTGGTCAACCCGATACCGCAATCGGACAGTGGTTGAGTCAACCCGCTTGAAACAGTCCTACTAGGCTTCGCTCGCTTGTAAATTGCGTGTAGTCATTTGACATTTCGCCCAGGGCTCCCAATAAAGTTGTACAGTAATCCCCCGAGGTTCGCTTGACAAAACTGGATTTCAATAGATGGCGCCCTCTGGACACCAGGACGCGACCATGCTGCCATCTCTTCACACTCCTATACTTTAATGAACAACGTCGGTATATTGCGTACAAGCTAAGATTTCAGTGTCTACATTTCGGCAATGGCCGTTAAAAAATGACACAGGAAATGTTTTAACAACATAAAAGTCTGAAAAAAATTATCGATAGCTAAAGCTTTTGCAAATTTAATTATTATAATAATAATAAATGTAGACAACGAAATCTATAAAACGTATTGATGTATTTGTTTTTTTATACTGTTCATCTTCAGTCGATGGTTTTATATTACTCGTGAGCACATCAAGAATCTTATGACCAGTATGGATGGTATCAAAGCTGGGGCGGGGATAATATCTGGCTGGCATCTTTTCAATGATTTTGATAACTCTCAGGAGGTGAGGTTGGAGAAACAGATTATATATTCAACTTAAAGGGCGGTATTCGCCGCGGCGCGTTCTGTTCGATATGGTACTCATAGATGGGACTCATTTGTTTTCATTAAACTCAAACCCGGGCTGCGCGACGACCACCGCCCTTTAAAGAAATAACGACTCGATGAACAAACCTAACATCAAATGGTCCTCAGAAATATAAGTAAATTCTAGGATATCGAGATCCCTGATTGGTTAGGAGGATATTTCCAAATGGAACTTTTTAAAATTTATTCTAACTAGTATATGACACATAAATGTCATTTACACTCTACACTTTTCCACATACCGATATAATGCAAATTACGTCGGTGGAGAAACCATCTTTTTGGGATGCTGCTCTGTATGCTTTGTAAAAGACGTTTAATCCCATAGTACGCATAGAGTGTTTATTTAAACGTTTAACACAACTCATTTATATTATGCTATCATTATAGGATTCGTATGACACCAAATTATTTCTTAACTATCAGTTACATAGAGATGGTGGACTGTTTAACTACAGGTGAGTTTAAGTTCCGGTACCATTCTAGGAGGTCCGAAATTGGATTCCGAGTAATAATCTTGGCACGGATTATGGTTATGAACATATTATTTTTGTGTGCATTTTGTGCAGACATTTTGATTTTAAATTTGATAGGCGGAGTTTTTGATCGCCACTGCTTAAGTGGTAAGTAAAGCGCATGCGCATTCGTCTGATTCGTTATATATATTCTAGTGTGTATATATCGGAAGGCAATGTATACAGAAATAATAATAATCTAATCAGTTTGTCTATATATTCCCCTTATCCAGAATCCACCCGGCCAATATTAACATTGACATTGTATAATATTGCATTATGCAATATACTAGTTTGTTATAGCGTTCAATGTTTGCTTGACCTCTGCAGACACGCTTCGTTCCTTACTACGTATTTCCTTGAAGGCAAGAAATACTTGAAATATCTCACGGAAAGGTAAGTTGACACTACCACTAAAAAGCTGCCAGATGACAGTTTATTTGTATAGTTCAAATTTTAATAAAAATTACAATTGGATCTCACTAAGACAGAAATCCTTCGTGGCGTGTGGCTCAAATTGGCTCTCGGTCACAATGTACACATTACACTCCTTATTTTTCCGTTGTTAATGAATGGTTAGATCTTGGGAAGTTCGAAGAATGTAACATATATACACATCGCAAGACTAAACAGCCAATTTAAAGCGGGAGGGTCGTCACCTGCGCACGCGTGGGAATTGAGTCCCAAGCGACGATAACAACACACGCTAAGGACGCAAAGGCTCATGGGTAGACGCATGCGTAGGTGACGACTCCCCCGCTTTAATATTAAACATGAATTGTCCATACCTTACGACACTTCCGCATTTCATCAGACAACTTATACGTGTCCCCTATTTCGTCCGGTCTATCGCCCCTGAATCTGAATAACATTTGACCTATCTGACGGTGTTACAGAATGTGCTACGTAAAAATCCAGGGGAACCCTCACGTAGAAAATCTATGTAGAAGTTTGCCGTATGGATGGGGTCTACAATTTCAGCATTCATTACTGAAATTATAAATATTAAACTCAAAAATCTTTGAAAGCATACTAATCGTTTATTCTCGTGTCAAAAAAGAACCTTGGTTTTGGGGTATTCTTTTTTCACATTTTGTCAGCTTGGAAAGGGTGGGGGTCCTGAGTTGCTGGCGACACTATCATTTTCACAGGTAGGTTCAGGTAAGTACCACCCACCCCTCCCGGCTTTGAACATTATTTTCATCGGCGTGTCTTTTGTTACTTTACGTTCTAGATTTCAGAAAAGAGGCGGAAAGATCATTCAAGGTCGAGTAAATAGTATGGAAGAATTGGTTGGGAAATATGACGTTGTTGTCACGTGTGTAGGACTCGGAGCTAAGACGTTGCTAGGCGACGACTCTATGGTACCAATCAGAGGGCAGGTTGCGAAGGTAACAAATTGAAGAAAGATTCCCGTCCTTTTTAATTGACTGAAATTGAATTATAACCTTCGTTATTCATTCAGAAAGATTCATTTCTCAAAACATGAATTTGACGGATACGACGTATTATCACTAACCAATTACAGTGACCTTTCAACTTACAGATCCATGCACCATGGATGAAACATTTTCTACGAACATTCACATCTAAAAAACAAGAGTTAGACACATACATTTACCCTGGGTAAGTGTATATCCGTTCCCAATGTTCCCATTAGAAATTGTATTCACCCTTTTTCCAATTCATTTACAGTATGAGAGAACTCGTAGTCTTCGTGGCATTTCCTTATGACTATTTTTACAATCTTTCTGCCAACCCCAAAATTTCAAATGGGAAAATTCATTCATTCTTTATCATATCAGGTATATGTCTCGTGCATTATTGTTGTTATTGTTTTTGTCGTCGTTTTTTTTTTGTTCAGTTCTTAGTCGTTATTTATTGTTTATGTAGACAAGAGTATGTAACAATAGGCGGGACAAGGCAAGAAGGTGATTATAACCTAGCAAGCGACGACGAAGACGAGAAACGAATCTGGACAAATGCTTGCAAGTTGATTCCAGCATTGAAGGTAAGTTTCATATTGAATATATTATGACGTCATATTATAAGCGTTGCACGACCTTGCAGTTTATTTTCATAACCGCGAAGTACTAGCCCGATCAGAATAAACCGATAAACGTATTTCTACCTTGATAGGACTGTAAGCCAGACTTTTCTCTCGTTGGGCTACGTCCATGCAGAAAAAAGGGAGTACGACTAGAAACGGAAACAATGAAGTTAAAGAATGGAACATTGAAAGTAAGTTATACCTGAATTTGGAGATTTGTAGTATAATTAAAGGGGCCCCGGAAAAATATATTAGGGTATTGATTTGCAAACATTATTTGGCCAACATGTGCTTTACCTTCCTACATCCGACGTGCACCCACTGAAACACTATTAACTCATACACGGATATCCCATAATGCAATGTGGCAATGACGTCACATATACATAGATGATACCTTGTTACCTGATTCTTATTCGTTAACAGGTTGTTCATAACTATGGTCACAGCAGTGCCGGCATTGCCCCTCACTGGGGGTGCGCACAGGATGCAACACAACTGGTCAAGACGTGTCTACAAGATACTCAGCTAAAATCACAACTATAACCATGACAAGTGTAGTGTTAACGTTCTACGTTATTTATGTGGCTATTCGTAATTTGATTCTTCTACATCGAGAAAAAATGTACGTGTAAAATGACGATAATATATGGCATCGCAATCAATGTCTTTGGAGGGGGGTAGTATCACGTGATAAACGAGTCTGAGTACGTAACGCAGTATGTTGTCTCGTTCGTAGCTATAGCCTTGGAATAGTTATTAAAATAGTCCTCTAAATATGTATATGTCATGAATTTGTTTTCGCGTATCTGTTGACCGACTTAATTAGCTGATTATTAGCGAATTGCTGTGTTATGTCTGTCATCGTGTAGACCTATTTGAAGTTTTGGACGGAACTTGGCTCAGTGGTTTGGAACTAATTACAAGATACCGTCGCTATTCTGACATCCGTAGTTATTAATGTAGTGAACGATTAATCAAAAGATATGACGTATTCAGTACTTAGTGTGATTGGCTTTATGATTGAAGGTTACGCCCTAGAGTCTTTTTACTGCTTTGTAATTGGTTAGAGTTTTGAAAATGAATAAAGAGAGTTTGAGTTGGTCTTGGCGAATACTCCACGACAGACGCAGTCCGAGAGAGTCTTGGGGCGAGCCTTGACGCAGTCCAGTCTTCGGCGAGTCTTGGGTCAGCCTTGCGAGAGTCTTGGGTATTTTTTCCCACGGGCGCTGTGTCTTATAGAGTGCTCGATTGACCGACTAAGACGAGAGCTGAAACGTATTTCGTTGTGTGTGTCTTATTTGACTGTAAAGTTAAAGTGACTTTCCCGATCCCGTACCTCAAGGGGACGAGATATAGAGACGAGACGAGTTTTCCCCCTGACAAGTGTGGAGACCCCGAGAGAGAAGATTTTACCCCTGACATATATATCATAGCACTGCACTGCTTTGCATTGCAAGTGAATGTTTAATTTGAAATTCCGAAAAAGTTGCAATAATTTGATTCATTTGTATCCATGCGCGTGTGTGTGGCTCGCTTTGAACTTTGAACGATGCTGTAAGATGCTGACCAAATCGGACAGACTGGACAGAATATCACGCCCAAAAAACGCAAATGATGTGTTTCGCAGTATACCATCGGTCAGTTTCGTTGACGGTCGGTCGTCTTTCGCCGGCTTTCTCTCAAAACAGTATTTTAGCGAATGACTGCAGATCAAAACAATATCAATGCTGAGAGCAGCCATCTATCTACGTCACAGCAAGTCTTCGACGCTAGATGGCGTGACTTATAGGATCAGTGTGTAGATGCGGCCCGGGGATTATAGCTACGTTTTGCAGAATGTTGTCTTGTAGTAATTCCGATTCAAACTGTGATAAGAAGCGTTTATCGTTTTTATTAATAATTTTCTCACTATAGTATCGGGTATTTTAATGAATAACAATCTACAATAAACCACTAAAACACAGAATGTATTTTAATACCAACGGATGTGCCTTGAGAAATGTTGATACAATAAGTATAGTCCCTTTTATTGTAATGCTATAAATTTTCAACCAATTTAATAATAATAATTAAATTAAAACTATTACAAACTATGTTGACATCTGAGTTTTTTTGATAAATAGTATTGTATTAATATACTCGTAGAAATCACCGTTCTTGCGATCAATACATATACCACTTTCCCGGAAGTCGAAGGAAGATACGGCGTTTCGCAATCGCGCGCATACCGTTTTGGGGTGTAACGTAAACTTGTACGCGTGATATTGCGCTTCTGGGTGTACCAATCGAAGTCTCAAACTACTATCTGTATTTCTGCATCCAAGTTTCGCAACTTACGGGGAAATGGTCTATGGCATATGAATAGCGCCCCTGGTGGCGTAATTTATAAGTTTTTTCGTATTTTGTATCTTAAAAATATACCAAACAATGACCAAAAATACTCAGCTCTGAGAGTGTTTATAATTCACTTTAAGGTCGTCATTTAAAAGTGATATTCGGAAGGATAGTACTCGAGTTGAAACAAACAAGTCATGGTATGGTTATTTGTTTTATCTAAATATCTCTTTCTTCTTTTAGGACACAGATTGAATCAAGGGTTATTGCGCCCTCAATGTGAAAATGTAGATATTTAAATAATTTATTAAATTTCGTGAAAAAAAATATATAAAATGAAAATATATGAAAATATTGATATGCTTTATGTGGTTACCACTTAACTTCTAGCGGTTCCCACAATTTATCAATGAATTAGATAGGGTTATAATTAGATTGGAAAGTACCCATGCCCACTGTACATCGAAAGTAACCTTGACCAATATTTGTTGGAAATTACCCGTTGTCACACCATACGTTGGAAACTATCCACATTCCTATTATTGTGTTCACGCTACGTTGGAGAGTACCCCGTCTTCACACTTGCCGTTTACATGACCGTTGTTGCTACACTGCTTGCAACGGTCTCAGTATACCAACTGAACAATGTAATGAATAAACATTGTGTAATTATGAATCATGGTTGGCCAACACGTGTCCTGAATCACAATGCCATAGAATGTGGATATGGTGAGTATAGAATTACACAACGGAAAGAAAACAGGCAGTTTCTCGGCTGAGATAGCTCCGCTGTTAGCAATGCACGTTTCAATCAAAGAACTGAAGATATCATTAGAAAATGAACAAATCTGAGAGAGGTCTATCTGAGGTACCTACATGTATACATTAAAGCAATCGGACTTGCGGTTTTTTAACAGTATAATAAAATATAACTTTTTACCAAAAATATTTATCCAAATTAGAGAATTGAAGATATCACGAAATGAACAAATATAAGAGAGACCTATCTGTAGTACCCATATGTATAATATCAAAGCAATCGGACTTGCGGTTTTTTTAACAAGATGTCGAGAATATCATTTTTTACCAAAAATGACAAAAATATTCATTAAAATTAGAGAATTGAAGATATCATCACGAAATGAACAAATCTAAGGGAGGTCTGCACAAGGTACATATATACCAAGTACCAAAGCAATAAGAATTGTAGTTTTCAAGAAGAAGTCGAAAAAGTAAAAAGTTGACATGAAAGACGGACGCTGGACGCTAACCTTATGATTAGCTCCGCTCGAGAGCGAAACTAAAAAAAATGTTCTGAATACATGTTATTGATCTTTAAAGTTTTGAATAATGAGTCAGGGAAATATGTAGCCTGACAAGTTGGCGTAGGTGACGCCCTGGACTGCTGCGATCCCCACCATCGCTAGGAAATATGTTGCACGTGGCAGTAAATCGATTACAATATAGCTGAGGGAAAGAATGGACGTTACCAAATAGTTGTTAGGCCGAAGGATCAATGAAAACTTCTTGAATGTAACACGAAGGTGTTACATTCCGGATAAAGATAAGTTGTTTGTGTTTGTTTTTTTTATAAATGTCCATACAAATCATTTACAACTTACGAGTCGTGTAAATAGATCAGTGGCGCCTAAATATGATGTAAAACATTTAATAAGCATAAGTTTACAGTATTATTATAATTTACTTATATACATTTATTCATCTTTATATCAAGGTGTGGAAACTATCGCATGGATCATATATTGTCGTTATAAATATGTTATCAACAAAGAATATCGCGAGAATCGTGACAAGAACCACGTAAATGCACACTAGTACATAATGATGGTACAACAGCTCAACGCATCCTTACTCAGGCTGGATATAATATGTGTTTGAAAAAAAATATTTACACAATTACTGAGGCATCAACAAAAATGTAGTTATTGACAATAGGTTCGGCTTCTGCGAAGCAGTGCCCTCGGACACCTGCTATCCATATAGGTACAGTGCATTCTGGCAGTGCAGCGAACACGTTCGTAACATTCGTTCTCAGTTTATTTGTCTTCTTCAGTTCGCGTTGTCAGGTTCGTGATAGCTCGAACGTGGTAGCACCAGGGCGCCGCCAGCTCCAGGGTGAACGGGGCTGGTCACGAGACGATCGCACCTCGTACATTCACGTGCAGCACATGTACACTTCATCCCTTCAGATCTCCCGTCCATCTGCGCTGCCATGCCAACAACTTGTGATTCTTTAGATTCCACACCATTGTGTGATTTGTGGGACTCTTCGGCGTCCGATTTGTTACTATGAATAACGATATCTGGTAGTTTGAGAGTACCTTCTCCATCACGACTGACAACCTCCGACTTTGCCCTTCGCTTGGTTAGATCGAATTTTGATACCAGATCCACTGGAACTGCAATCAAACGGGGATAAGTTATTGAAATCTGCCCGTAAGGCACCCAAACACAACACAATTAATTAACTTCAGTGATGAATAATTCAGTTACCCTCTCCGCCTCCTTGCTATTTGTGTGTGAGAGTATTGAACAATTCCCATTGAACTACATTGGATAAAAACAATCAGATCGACGAAAATTCAGATATAATTAAAAATATAATTATCTATTCGTTTATCAGTGTACAATTTAGCGTACTCACCACAGTCCTTTTTGTCGGTGTCGTCAGCATTTGCTTTCTGACAAAAACATCTTAACATGATATACATAGCCACAATAGCGATTACAGCAGAAACTGCAACAACTGCTATCAACACGGGACTGATCTGATTGGCCACCAGTGCTGAAATTAACAACAGTGACAAGCTGCATAATTTGCATAAACTACGTCATGGACCAAATCAATAGGTAACGACTATCGTGATGCAACCATTCTAGCCATCCCTATAGCTATATACTTACCGACTGAGGGCGCTACTGAACTCGTACCAACCATCCCTGCGACTGTCGAGGACTCTGTCATAAAAAATATATTTTCGAGATTAATATGTCAATCGGCAAGGGTAGTCGTCACTCCCAACAATGGCTGTAATGCTCAAAATGTTTGCTTCACAAAACCCACAATTATAGTAGCGGTACCTATATGGCACACCTATATTTCCATTTTGTTATAATAACGATGTGACCGCGGTTTTTGAACTACATTGCTTTCGATCATTCATTTTGACGTGACAGAAGCGACCCGCCTCTAAAGGGCGCGCCTTACAGTAGACTGTGCCAAGATGACGATCATGTCATAACCGCATATAAAAGCAAACCGAAAATGGGATCCAGACCCAGCATACCAAGCGAAGGGCGTAACATAAAATGTTCCTATATTATACAAAAAATACCTTGCAAAGCTGGCACGGCGTTTGACTGCAATGTGGGTTGCCACTGTAACTCTGGTTTGGGTTGCAAATGTGTATTTTGTTCCGTTGACCTGTACCCAGTCGTTGTTGGCGTAGTTCCATGCGATGTGGAAGTTACTCTTGCTTTAATCGCCTTACGTGTTGTTGTTGGAAATTCTAGAAAATAATCATATGAAAATCGGTATTATAAAAACCACTTAAACGAACTGTGATATATCTTATTCTTTATAAGGAAGACGATGTTTCCAAGTCACGTAATTATCATTCAGGTAATGGTATGAATCAACTTGCAATAGGTGATTTTCCGTACAACTGCGAGATCTCGCGAGATGCATGAAAGACGCGCGTCGAACGTCTGGTGCAAAAATCGAACGATTTGATTTTGAACTCGAATTTCTTTATTTCGTAGCTCACATCGACCGGCCGATCTTTGACAGAGGAATATTGCATTCGAATATCTTCTTTTAATCGAAATTGTCTATCATCAAATGTATACAGCACATTATTGACATGGAAATGTCCCCCAAAATACTTTCGCGTTTGTCGAATCTCACGCGATGTTTGACGCCACTACGACGCTATGACCTTTGTTTGTCCTGTTTTTACGTTCGATTTCACGCATAACGCGTGATTCTCGCAGTGAACGGAAAATGGTCTATTATCAAAGATGAGTAATACCAAGTTGGAAATGTAAATCAATTTAATGATATGCTGTGATCACTGGAAATTATCGACAACATAATGTGCGTATTTCCATCATGAATTAATCAATAATTACACTGAGAAAAACAAACGAACCACACTAAACCGGAAGTTGGCGTACAAATACAATGTGAGTAGGAATGAAAGGAATTCCCCCACTGTATAAGCGGTTAAAAATAGACAAGAGTTTGTTGTGTTGGGGTTTCGAAATCATTTTATTCGTTTAGTTTACAATTTTAAAAGAATGTCACAGCTGTTTAGAAACAAACTAGGAAGTATTAATTTACTATAATTGAACAACATAAACATAGGGAATATTAAATCGTTGTTATATTATTTTATCTTATGAATTGTGTGTGTACATTATTTTAGTAATCTCATATTATTTAGTATTTTAGTGTTTTTGTATTATTTAGTAATTTAGTGATTGTATTTGTTATCTAGCATAATTCTATTTTTTTTTCTTGTACCTTGTGACCATTTCCTTTTCCTCCGAGAATTGTGTAAGAGTCAATAAGTAAATATATAAATAAATAAGTACGACGAAATTATAATGTGTTTACAGTCCAAGCACATAACACATAACAGACTTGAACTTTAACTTTAACCACGTGTAACACGCCCAGACCGTGTAACACGTCCAGACCGTGTAACACGTCCAGACCGTGTAATACGTCCAGACCGTGTAATACGTCCAGACCGTGTAACACGTCCAGACCGTGTAATACGTCCAGACCGTGTAACACGTCCAGACCGTGTAACACGTCCAGACCGTGTAACACGTCCAGACCGTGTAACACGCCCAGACCGTGTAATACGTCCAGACCGTGTAACACGTCCAGACCGTGTAACACGCCCAGACCGTGTAATACGTCCAGACCGTGTAATACGTCCAGACCGTGTAATACGTCCAGACCGTGTAATACGTCCAGACCGGTGGTTGTCTGAAATTGACAAATCAACAGACAAATAACACAAAGTCTTATCGGGTTCAGTAACTACACTATCTCCGTTACACGTGACCTTGGCTAATGAACAGTATCGATTGTGGTATGCGGAATGCAGACATTGTCTGGACGTAAATTCATGTTCAGACACGTTTGTGTGCGCCCTTGGTGGGTATACACAATGAGGCTGTTCTCGGACACTGATACATTTAAATAATATACACAGTCAATATTCGATTCTAGCTGGCTGATAAAATATCGCTTCAATATAAATGACATAAGATCGAGAAAAAAGAAAAACATTCTTACACTATGTATACTGTTGTCCTGAGTGAGCCAAGCTATCAGTCGTCGTATCTATGTCACAGTAATAACTTGAACCGAGTTTCACGTGTTTAAAGCTTAAAACGGGTAAATAATATTTGTACTTACTGCATTTTAAACACGATTTGGGTGGTTTTTCTAGCTTCTTGCAGTGTGAACACGGCATGCAGATACCGAGACCGTTATCAACTTTACCAGCAATACACTCTATCCCCATGGTTTCTGTAATGGTAAATATGCGACGATGATTATATATAGGACTTTCACTTCGAGTGGTTGAAGGGAAACTGATGGTTTGTTGAGTGGTTTGTGATATCTTATCGAACACATTCCTCGCTGGCTGGGTGGTCTGTATCACATTAACCAATCAATCCATCAGAATTCCTATGCATATTCATTTTCAACCAAGCGCGTCAAAGGATTAGAAAGCTATTTTTGGCGATGACTTTTTTTAAAAAAAAGCGCGAATGCACGTCACATCACAAAAGACAAAAACACAAAATGGAAAGTGACAGTGATTTATTTATCATTTCGAATTTATCTCGATTGAACTTTTGATCCCCGAATATATTCGACGCTGATATTGTTACAAAGTCACCTACCATGTGGATCGACTTAACATAGCACGACAGTACGTACGTCGTAAAAATATAATTCGTTTTTTTCGGACTGCTGGATCTCATAAAAATTTAGGGATCTTGAAATTGCTAGGTGGATTTCAGTCTAAGTAGGGCAATTAATTCCTCTACGAGATGTCTGCAAAATCTGAACTCAACCCACCGGATTACCAGACTGGTGTACTAATGACGGAACATTCCATTCTACTGACGTAGCATGTTTGTTCCCTCTGAGTACGATGTATCAACAGAGATCTGTAAATGTGAATCGCAGGCACGTGGTTAGAGAGGGATTCCCTATAACCTAAAAATACACGACGGTGTACCGTGTGTTAAATAGATCATCGGGCTACGTGTTAATGTCGTCGTAACTACTATATCATGATTAATTGAACATATGACGGTAGCTGCGTCTTTCTGGTCAAATGTTGCTGACGGTGCTATAACTTTACTCCGATACGAAGCATGGTCTGACAGCTATTACCGATTAGCAGATACTACTGCCAGGAATTTTAATAGCCCGCCCAGCGACGGTTTAATCTATGAGTTCAAGTTCACATGGCCAAAATTGGAATTACGAGAACGTGGTCCTAAATCCCCCAGAATTAGTACGGTGTCGGGGCATGTTTTTGCTGTTCCACATTTGAAACGGGCTTTCGATTACTCGAAAAAAAAATCGACCAGAATCAAAATCAAAATCAAAACAAAATAACAACGACTATCTAAGAAATATGGAACACTTGAAGTCAGTCACATTTGAATAAAATAAGTTCTTCCAGCCCCTCATATTTCAAATGGGTAACCCATTAAGACGGTATCTAGCTGACAATCAGCAAAGGCAGGGTCATGATCGAACGTTGCCTTGACTGCTAGAATCTTCACAGCTCGGCACAGGATAATAACAGTGATTCTTTGTCCTGATTACGTTACACGTGTATACGGCGCTTTTGTTGTTGTTCATTATTGCGTCTCACAACACGGATACTATCGAAACTGTCCCGTTGTGGCAAACACATATTTTGATGTATCAGTCACGGTTATAATTAACAATAGTCGCCGTACAGCGAGTCGATGGACACATATGGAATGGCGAGACTATGGCCAGGGGCCGGGCTCGTAAGTAAGTTATGGAAATAATGCGTGTCGCTTGACGTTAACTGAAGACCACCTAGACAGATGCCGGCATCGTGTTTCGCATTGCAGATCACACCCACTCACGACTAGCGGGCCCAGCACATATTTGGCTACCATATACTTCCATGTGTGGACATACGACGTCATTCATCATTCCCACTATATGTCGAAAGTATTAAAACATCGTTCCAGGTATAGACAATGGATTTAGTAAACGTACGATTTTGAATATTAAACATAACATTTTTTTGGCTTGAAGCAGCTTGTGAATTCTCTTGTCAAATCTTTTTTCACTCAATCAATTATTAAGTTCTAAACCATTGACATCATTTCGAGCGACATTTTTTTGTTTTGGGTAATCGTATAATTAATGTGGGTGTTTAACTATTTAAAATATTTTTTTCAAATAAGTCTTTGCTTAGTTTCATGGTTTAATACCTTTTTGTCATCATTTAACGATTTCTTTGACTTCTATTTCTATTGAATTAGTTACCTACTGTAGTCCATCGATTATTCCCTCTGCGTGTATCCGCCGTGAAACTTTTTGGCATACGTTGGGTACTCGGTCAACTCTTTCCTCGGCCTTGTTTTGTGGCTTCTTTTATTTAGACTGAGCAAAACATACATTTACATTGCACAAGCGTACATACTTCGATATTACATTGCGATGTGAGCGCAATGCATTTAATCTTTCAGGATCATGATAACCCGATACTTTGGAATGGTAAGTAAGCAGGAAACTAACAGGACGGCACGATCAGAGAATAACAGTTACTTGCGCGAGGACATAATTTGTATACTATTTATATTCATTGTTTTGGGAACTTAACTCTGAGAATAAAAAAAAATTACTCAAGCGAACAGGCCCCCCCACCTAAATAAATGTCCGTCGAAAAGACGGGATAACATTGAGACAGTGAGTTTGATATGAACGCTGGGTTGTGTTTTTGTTATTAGTGAGACCGAAGGACTATAGAATAGTTACTGTAAAATCATTTATTTTTACTGGTATTTAATTTCACCATTTTGATCTTTTTGACACTCGGCCGGTCAGGCTGTTTTTCTTAAGTTAAGGAATTTGGTAGAGGAACAATGAGTTCTATTGTTATTTTGATTTTCACGCGGATTTATTTTAGCATATTTTACTTACTTTCAGCGAAAATACCGTAATTGAAACCCAGTGAATAATTCTTGCTATGAATACAATAATCTAATCTTTTACGCATTTTAATAATAATGTATATAAATTATAACAAAGAAGTTGAGTTAAAATTCTGTGAAAATATTAGCGTAATGATTGGAGTGTTTGGAAATACAAGATAGGGTGAACTGTTATTAAATGAACCATGGCCACACAATCAGTAAGCAATTGAGATTGCGGTTTCACACGCTATTACAAAGTGGCGACCTGTTGGCAGCTTGACCTTTAAACACGTACCATGTGACTATTTTCACGGGATGAAATTTCCCTTGCTCGTCATCGATCAGATCAGAGATTGCACGAGGTTTGTGTTTTCGAATCGAAATGTTTTAAAATTGAGCCTGTTGAAATCCTGAAATGGGCTTTTGAAGACAAACGACGTTTTAAACTAACAATGAACTTGCATTGTAATGCAATTAATAGTAATACTAATTGAAGACATACTTTTCTTGAATGGATTTCGGGAAAATTAAGTAAATTTATAAATAAAATCTCAACAATAATAGCAACAAGAAAAACTTAGTCGATTCAAGTTGTTAAAAACGGGAGGGGGTAAGCGATTATAGTAAGCGATATGTGAGTACATATCTCAACTTGCCGGGATTTCAACAATACACTATACTATACACCGTCTTGAGACACTGCGACGATAGCTGCTCACCACTTAAAAGATCCTCTCATACCGCTTATACGTCCGAGTATACCAAGTATGTAACAAGGAGTCGGTCACGCTTGTTGTGTAAAGTTTTCAAAAAAGGTCACGTGACGTATTTGGGCCTCAAAAAACAACCGTGAATAAAAACGCCAAATTTCGGATCAAGGAACTATCAAAATAAATCCTGAAAGGCCTTGAACGTTGCCGCACGAAGCGTGGTATGTGAACGTGACTGCCATAGATCAGACATACACTGAACGGAATTCATGTCCAGACTTGTCTGTCTGCATCAACAGCAGACGGTCTCGACGATGTCCTGTCATGGCATATCGACGCTGAAGCAATTTCATTTTAGCGTTCCACGAAGAAAAACCTTTAAAAGTTCGTCAATTGAACTTATGATCAGACAGTTTATCAAGTATTCCATCATTTTTTTTTAATTTCTAATAATTGGCATATTTTGTCAAAATAGTCGAAATCAAGTTTTAGTCCTCTAATTTACTAGACAACTTTCGACACACACACACACACACACACCACACTTTAGAATAGGCATTGTAATACAAAGAGAATGTTGGCAGGACTTACTACATTGTGAACACGTATCGGGCGGGCTTGTCAACTTCTTGCAGTGTAAACATGGAATACAGTGACCGAGTCCGTTATCGACCTGGTTGGAAGGGCATTGTGTCTCCATAGCTGATGTAGTCGGAAATGATATTATAGAGAGTAGACGATATGTGATGTTCACCCCACCTCTCTGAGCTTCTGTTTTGACGTTGGAATGATGCCATTTATACTGTCCTACAGTGGCATGTTATTTTAAGATATGACATTGGGAAAACCCGAATGTCTATGTTGGCTGACACCAGGTAAACAAAATGCATCTAGGCACAGTTAAAGATGAACACACATTTCTGCTCACTAAGGGAAGAGTGTGACCGTTGATTTTTTTACCGTGGTCTTATCTGTACTCGACTTATTATATTCATAATCCTAATATAGTAGTTATGATTTTTTTTTTATCCTTCATTTCCGTGATCTACGTGTGCGTGTCAGCTTGTGTGTTTTATTCGATTTGTAAGTGGGTCAACTACGCACGCATTATAAATAAATGTTGGTTTACCGCAGTGTGTAACTACTCCTTTCTTATTGTTAGTCTGGTCGCGGCATTTGTACCCCAGAAA